CAAATAAATCAATGATTAACTCCTACTCCATTCGAGATACGACACGTAACCCTTTCTCTCTCCCCAACCCCTCGACCTTTAACCACCAAAATTTAACGCTGTCGAGCCCTCTAATACACAAACCTCCCGGCAAGATTTCAGCCTTTTTCGACAAAAGGCTCAGGAGTTATTAAGTTTTTCCCCCACATACATAACCCCTCCCATTTCAAGGTCCCGAGTGTAGAAATGTAAAAATTTAAGGGTCATATTTTTGACCGATCGCCATACTTTCCCTCTGTTATATATATAACAAGCGTTAAAGTAATTTTTCATATCCAAAAATTAATAAAAAATACAATATATTGAATTCACCATATGAACAGGACAATATATATTAAATTACCGAAGATATATTTCTACGGTTGTGATGTGGCAAATTCTTTCAGCACTACTTGGATTTTAGACAACATAAAAATGCTATTATGGGATTATAGATCGTATGGATTATATCAAAACATCTCGTAGGCGCCTGTTAAATATCATATAAATTATAATAAAAGTTGTAGTGTATACTTGTAAGATTTTGTCCTTCTAAGTAAATTATGAAGGTAAATTTATATTAATTACTACAGCTATAATTTTCTAACTCAAGATTGAACCCTTTTACCCTCTTCTGAAGACATTTTATGGCAGATGAGTCTATTTTCTATCACTTTTATCACATTATTCTAATATCTGAATATGTCAGAGTATAAACTACAAAGGACTGATCGATATTACTTGAAAAATTCCTTGAATAGAAGACGAAAATCGCAAAATTTATCAACTTTAATGCTTTAATCCACAATAAAAATCAATAATAAATGTTTAAAAAAAATCAAGCAACGAGTTGCTTAACTTTCCTGGCAAAAAAGTTAAAATCGTATATGGCGCCATCTGTTATGAGATACTGATATTATTAATTATTATAAAATCGCAAAGAGCTTAATTTTGAAGGCAGAAATTAAAAAAAAAAAAAAAAAAAGGCCCAACCGTGTCTGAAAGGTCATCATAAAATAGCAATAGTTGAATGAGCAAAGACAAAGATGAGTTGGACAACTGAGTGATAAGAAATCATTTTTAGTGACAAAGTTTCATCTGTTTTCTGTACTTGGTTGGTCACCGGCTCATACAGTTTTAACTTTTGTCAAAATCACTTCCAGTTTTTAGCAACATTTCCATATGAGATCTGTTCTGGAGGTCGTATGGAATTCATTGTTGGTTATTTTCTTTTGTTATTGGTCACTTTTTTACTTCTGACACTAAGTAACAATTAATGAGACGTGTTCTGAACATTTTATTAAATCTTTAACCTCTAGCACATGCTTCACTCCACCATCACGGAGTGTCATTGATATGTACAACATTACTACACCATACAAGGTCCCAAATCTTTTATTTTAGTTTTATTTATATTTTTGTTTCTTAGTTTATTAAACAAAATAACATTATTTGTGCGTAAGCTCGTATCTGAATTAATAATTATTATAATTATTAATTTAGATGTGAGATGGCATCTAATGTCTACCTCTAGTACCAAATTACTTAGTTTCTAATTATTAATTATAGTGTAATAATAGTCCAATTAATTACAATAAACATTTGGTTTAGTAATCTTATTTTATGTTTATTATGATTTTCATATACAGTGGTGCCTCGTATAACGTACGCCTCGAATAACAGACGCTGTGAACAATGGACTTTCTGTTTGGCAGTTATGTGAGGCGAACAACAAACTTTCTGTGAATAAGTGCGAATGATATTTTCACTCTTTTGCCGTTGCCAATGACAATCTGCTATTTTTATAATATACTAGCTGCAAGGACCCACTTCGCTGGGCAAAAAGTAATGATAGTGAAGATTAAGATAATTACATTATAGCCAATCTTACCCGTTTTCACAGAATGCAAGAATTAGGTCCCCCATTTCCAAACTAATTAGAGAATTTTTACATGAGTCTAAAAATATGTTCGATTTCCTGCAAAAACGCAAAAAACCACCTGTAAATCTTGCATGCCGTTTTATATTAACACTTCCTTTGTTACTCAACACTTCCACTGTTAACACTTCTATTGTTGACACTTCCATTGTTACACATCTTCGAAGTCAACCACTTTCAACCCCATATCTCCTGCACCCTTATAGCTATCGAGACGCAACCACCATAGTGCACGAATGGAGACTTGGGGCTACTACCACATACAAACACC